CCTTGTCTTAGAGTGTTTTTTCTGCAGAACGATGCTCTGGAACATGATGCACCTTCAGGCAAAAAATCAGCATCCTAGGACTTCGTTTATCTTCTATAGATTCGAAATGCTTCCGGAACACCTCCTCCACCATGTACCGGGAGCAGTCCAAGTATTCGCTTCAACCACTTCACCCAGCTTCGCGTCCACAGCTGATCGTGAGTCGCCATTTGTGCTTCCCAAATCTGTTTCAACTCTCGAGCGTTGTAATCTTCAAACCAATTCTCCAAATTATCGTTCTGCAACTCGGGATGTTCCTTCTGGTATTCTTACTTTTGCAGGTCGACCATCTTCTGATAGCCCTGATATTTCTGGGTCAGCTAGGCCTGGTCCTGTCTGATCCTGTGGAACTTTCCCCTTGGTCTGTTCGAGGACATGCAGCGACCTGGTAAAGAACTCAACGGGTTCCTTTCTCACCTGTTACGTTTGAACATAATTCAACAAATCATAGCCTTCTATACCCGTAAAAAAAAGAACCGTAGAGGTACAATGAAATGTGTTGTAACCATACAATAGAGTTTATTGTATTTACAATAAATCTTATTCTCCACAAAGATAAAATAACAATAGAATGTATTGTGTCCACAACAGAATCTATGGTAAATGGGGTAATATACAATGGAACAAGGGGGTCGTTATGTATCTTAACCATACGAAAAATCACTTTTTCCCGGACAAACTTGAGCCATTTACCATTAATTGAATTGTTGTTCTATTGTTGAAAACTCTTACTAAATAGTACGTATTATACATCTAATGTAATAACAATATGCTAAAATTTCGTGTACTATATACGCACAATAAGATCGATTGTGGCCAATAGGTTTGCTTGTAATTGTATTTTATTTTATGGTAATTGTATGGTTATTTTTATCCGGGTAATAGTGCCATAAAACCGGAAAGCACCTAATGTCAAAGATGAATCACCCATCGGTGAAATAATGGCTAGCGCAAGGGGTTGGTCACTCTACACGGTGTGTCAAAATCAAACTTGGGCACACCCGATATGATCTTTAAAGTTACTGGCAACACTGAACTTTTTCTGCGCCTGATGATGTTGCCACAATACAATCCAATTTTTACAAACCACAACCGTGAATCTCCATCAGTCCCGCCAGTGATTCTCCAAAATCGAATTGAATTCACCAAAGTACAGTCAGCGCACATCCTATTACCTGTCCGAAGAAGTAGGTACATGAAAAAATCAGGGTAATCGCTTGCATAGCAACACCGCTCAATCAATCTCAACATTACCAGCTCCAGCTTCGTTATTAAAGTCGTTACTCAGGCTCCCGTGACCGGAGAAAAGTACGTCCCATGAGTGGTTCTGATCAACCTTGAGCCGGGAACTATGGATTCGGTCCGAGCGGGACCATTTGGACAGCTGTTCCAACCGAATAACTTCGTTTTCGGACAGTCCGGTGCTGGAAACAACTGGGTCAGACGACACTACACCAAGGGTGCCGAACTGGTGAATTCTGTGCTGGATGTTGTCCGTAAGGATTCCGAGGGTTGCGATTGGCTGCAGGTCTTTCAGCTTACGCATTCGCCGGAAGGTCTTCTTACACTGGTACACCGGCGAGGGAAAGGACGACATGGAGTTCACCGAAGCCGAGAGCAACATGACCGGACTGGATTCGGACTACCAGCAGTACCAGGAGACGACGTTTGACGAGGAATGATAATTCGACGAAGAAGAGGAAGGTGCCGACGAGTGGTTAAAATTGTCGTTTCCATTATGCTACCATATACTACTTTTAATAATTGCTGAAATAAAATCTAGTTATATTAAAAAATAACACTGTTATCTTCCTTCCGGCAACACTAGTCCGGAATCTCCAGTAGTAAATCTACTTTGAGTGGCTTGCCATAAGATGTTCCCAAACGACTGGATCCAATATGGTACACGATCCGTTGCTGAAAGAATTTGAAGCTTTCCTTGGCGAGAACATGCCACCTGTCGGGAAATCCCTGTGGAAAATCAACCTCTTCATAATCCACATCCTTCAGATATCGTTCATTGTCCGAATCTTTTACCGTCCTCAGAAACTTCCGGAAATCGCCCAACCAACGCTCAATATAATTTAACACCTTGAATTTCACCTTCACCTCGCTTAGCATCTCTTCCACCTGCAGCCGGAACAGATTTGAGTGGTAGAAATGTTCCGTTTCCTTCAACCGATTGATTTTGTCTACCGTCGGCGGTTCGTACAGCTTATAGTCGCTATATTCATAGCCTGGCGGATAGAATTTCGATCTATCAAAAAGCAGAATCAATTCAATATATTTTAGACCAACAATTGAAAAGGTACTTTCAACTTTTATAAACAAAACGTTGATTATTCTTTCCTCGCCAATCGAACGCAAATTACTGGCATCATCAGATAGGGGAAACTTTCCTCAACCTTAGTTTGGTTTTAGTTTGCGTAGGCGAGAAAGGGGTTTCCGAAGTTTTGTTCGCAATAGCTGATGTGCTCTTTTCTGTTGTTGGTCGTGATTTGCTCGATTGGTTCCGCTATTTGACAGCTCAATTGGTTCCCGAGATTCTATCCGCCAGACTATGAATATAGCGACTATAGTACAGCTGCTTCATGGCTTTGATCTTCCGTTGGTGTTCTTCGTATGTTCGTCGCTTGGAATGGCTTTGCGCTTAGCGCCTTTCGATTCCCTAGATCCGACAGTCGTGACTAGCACAAAGCGTCCAAAATATCGGGTTTTAAAACAATTCATTATTCACAAGCAAACAAAAGTCAGTTTAATTACTTCTCGGCACTGCCGTGCCAGCTGTGGCACACAAAGGTACACTGAGAAAAAAGTTGGCGCAAAACAAGTGTGTCCAGCATTTTTCAAGCGGTAATGGTTGCCACAATCTGATTGAGTTTCTGGTAGGGATCATATGATTTGAAGTTTGTCTTGTGTAGTTTGACCTGTAAAAGGTCAAATTTGATCGTTTATACATCAAAATTCATAACCCAAACATCAAATTGAATGTTCCCTACCAGATACTCAGTCAGATTGTGGCGGCCATCAGCACTCGTGAAATGCTGGGTAGAGTGACCACCCCTTGAGTTCTTCATTATCATTATCCTTCATTATCATTCATTCATTATCCTTATCATTATTATATCTTCAGTTATCATCAAATATTAAACTCGTATTTTTTATCCGCTATTATGGTGACCATTTCCGTGTTACGTTGGTCCGAAAAATGTTTTTTTTTTCAAAAATGCCTTTTTTTTCACGGTTGACCTTAAATGAAAGATTTTATAATGTAGTTTTAAGGAAAATTACGAAACACTCAAAAATATTTGATTTTCTATGAACAAACAAATGCTTTTTCTTGATTTTCACTGCAAGGGTCTTCAAAAACTTCTTATATTAATATTTTTTACTAAAACATAACATATTAAAAAATTAGCGATATCGGAGGAGCCGTTTTGGAGATACAAGTTTTCTTAAATATAAAATCATTGTTTAAAAATACATGGAAACGATGAAGATGTAAGGTAGTTCACAATGCGTCTCCATCGAGTCACAGCAGCTGTGACTAACGAAATCTATGAGTAACTTACAATCTGGGTGCAACATTCAGTTCAGCCTGTGGGCTGTCCATAAACCACGTAGACCAATTTTTAGACATTGCAAATCCTACCTTCCCCCTCGTATACTTTTCTAAAATTTTAAAATATTTTTACCGAGCGTATTCTTTGGCTGGACTCCCCTCCCTCATTAAAGTCTACGTGGCTTTAAAACAGGTCCAAGTTTGACATAATTCATGTTGCTATCAAAATGCTGGGAGAAGTATTTAAATGCTACAAAGAATGACGAGGACGATGCAAAATAAGTAAAACATCAAGCATTTCTTTTCTTTAATTAAAATTTCGCATAGTCCAAGCAAGATTACTTAGAATTAATATATTCGTGCAAAACCTTTACGAGATCATTTTCTAGCCGTAGTGCATTTGGGGAAACAAACTTTGTTCGAAAATCCAGCTAACATAAAGTTACAAAATTATTTAAAAAAATCTTCCGACGAACACAGTACAAAATCTGTTCATGCGATGAAACATTGCAAATTCAGTATAATTTTTAGAAAAATCTGTCATAGAATCTTACATTTCCCGGTTGGGTGTAGCTTTTGGATTCATAAAAAGAGCCGATCCTTCCTAATTTACAGCTTCAACCGACTTCCACATTGTAATCCTACACAATACACGACGGGATGGCACAATCCAATCTCTATGCTAAGTACCATTTTACACACTTCAGTGAACCACTATCGGCAGGGCAGCTGAGACTAAATCCTCCTCCTTGCAGCTGTTGGTTGGAAGGATGAACGCATAAAGCTTTTATGAGCTAAATAACACCGAGCAATAACATTACTGTTAATGTATTAATTTCTCCAGTGACCTTCCCATCGTTCTTTGTTTGACTCGCTCATCGTCACGCCGTACGTAATTCAGTCACACTACTTTGTCGTGCAATACTCACTCGACAATAACACATTTCGCCATGGCCATTTACCACTCAATGTAGCGCCGCGAGGAAAGCAGCTTTCCAGGCGAGATATATTTCCACCCTTCACGTTCACGCTCATAAAAGAAATCCCAGTCTGAAAACTCTGAGGAAAATGTCCGTCCTATATTGAGTTTTTCGTTTAATCAAAGTTAATCCGAGATTTCATGAAACCCCATCAAGTTGGCAGAAGCTGCAATAAAAACTAAACTCGATGACAACTCCCCCCCCCCCCCCCTATACTTCCTCTCCCCCTGATGTCAGATTCTGGTTATACCTGTACCGAAACGATTCCACCACCGGCGTTAATTAAAAGCTAATTAACTCTCCGTTTGCCACTCATTCTGTGTATCTGCTGCAGCTTGCGGAAAAAAACGCGGTGGCAAAAATAAAATAAACAAGACAAACCGGATCCAATACTAATTTCCGTCGTTTCGTCTCGGCAGGTACACAAAAGGATAACCTATTTACGCCATTTAATCGTCAGCCTGGCACAGGCTAGGGACATCTCCCGGACGTTGCTGGTCTTCTCCCACGACCACTTTGACGACGACATCAACGATCTGGTGCAGAGTATAGACTTTTGTAAGGTTATGCAGGTAAGCATTTTTCTTTATGTTTGTTTTATTTTTTTCGAGCTCAATATTTGCCTTTTCTGTAAGCATACTGCGTCATTAGTGCTAAATGGGATTTTCTAACCATTATTTTCTTTCTTTTTCCGTTTCCACAGATCTTCTATCCTTTTTCGATACAGACACATCCGAGCGAATTCCCCGGAGCGGATCCCGAAGACTGTCCCAGGGATATCAAAAAGGAACAGTAAGTGTCGGGCCGGGGCAATTTTACGATAGTTCAAATTATTGGGTATAGGCATTATTAAATTATTGGAATTTTTAAAATGTTCAAACATGTTGGGAAAAATGTGGCGGATAACTAAATAAAGTTCATAATACAAGAATATTAAAAAGTCTAGAGTGTTGAAAAGCTCTCCGCGTCTTTCTGTAGAGCATTTCCAGTTGAAATCAGCCAGAAAAAGCCTGAATCTAGCACGGCTATTTCCGGTTTGAATGAAACCAGAGCTGTTGTTGTAAAATTTTATCTAAGTAGCCGCAAATGAATCAGCGCCACATATACAAGATCAAAATTGTGGCGTCAAGATTTTTTTTACGTAGAACGACGTCTTTGTGGACAATACTGGGGTGCAAAAGAAAAGTGTGACGAAATAGTGTTAGGTTTTGAACGCTTGTAACTTTGTCATTTATAGATGAAATTCAAATTCAAATACGTCAATCGATAGGAAATAACTCTACAAATCAGTTGAAATAAATACTTTTCCAAATTTCCATGAAAAAACTTTTGAAAATTGTTAAAATGATAATCTTAACATTGTTTTTATGAAATAAACGATTCCACACTGGGATAAATTGGAGGTATTGACCGATTTTCAGTAAGACTACAATATTATTTATACATACTACCATCCGCTTGTGCACGGAGGCCTACAAGCTGATGGTCCCGGCGATGCAACATTACAAGGCGCTCCGTAACGTGGGTAGATCACCTTTTCGTTGTACGTTACGGGATGTAAGATCTACCACCGATTCCTAGTCTTGACTACTTCAAAGTAGGGGAACAGGATTTTTCAATAATCCAAGGAACACATCTTAGTCCTTGTTACTTTTTATGCCTTGTTGATAGTGACAATACTCGGCTTTGTCCACCGAGGATGATCTTGAAACAAGGAAAAAATGAGTTAGTTAGTCTTCATCTATGTGATTCCTAATCTTCTATTCGTTGTTCCTTAGGTTTGAAGTGGTTAAAACTAGGTTTCTGATGCATGGTCATTATCGGTGTCATTCCTTAATTTTGTTGCTAAGGAATCCAATTTTGACTGACTAAGGGGCGCGCCTTTGGAGGGTGTTTCCGAAGGGTATAAATAGCGGAACCTTTCAATTAGAGTCGGATCCTTGCGATAAATGCGAGAATGAAAACTTCATCATTTCTCAATAGTAATGGAGTAATACGACATGCACTAAACTAAGGACACGGGATATACTACAATAGATCAAATTACTGATAGCAGTGGTGTTAGGTCCCGAACAGAGGAAAAAAAAAACATTACAACAAGTCATGCTGAACAAATTGAAGGTGGAATATTTCTCCCACGATCTCGAAGCCAACAAGCCGCTTAAGGAAGTGCTGCGTGGCCTCCCGGACATGGATACCGACACACTGTGGGATGAATTGACCACTCAAGCAGTTTTGGCGTGACTTTCTACCAGCGATTTCACAAAACTGGACCAACTAATTTCTATTTTTTATGAAACGCACAAATGTTGGCTACTTTTCTCGAGGTTCTAGAAGAAAAAATCTCAATATAATCTTTTATTTAAAAGTTCGAGTGGTAGTAAACGTCGTTTTAACTGCTTGAATGAAGTGGTTAATTGAAGGCGAACGGCCTCAATCTGGTGCAAATTTGCAAGATGGCCCGTCATGACACTACTCATAACTATCTGCACTAACGTGCACTGCTTACTTTTCGGGCATGTAACCAAAAAGATATAAAGGAGGAAGCTGATCCCATATGTGCCAACCGCCAACTTCGTCGTAATCCGCAAAAAGGTTTCCACAAGCAACCAACCAGGCCACAGAAGGGTACCGGAAAACAACGGGCAGAACTTCCCTGCCATTGGCCAACGGCGTCCGTGCTTCCGCCACTTCCACTCAACAACCGACTGACGTTGTCCCACACAACGTACCGCTGTGGTGCCCAACCCTTCGACAAACTGCATCCCACAGTACCTTCCTCCCTATGGGTCTATCAAAGCGTCACAATGATGTACACATACGATGATTTATTCACCCAGCTTGCCACACGTTTGCGCAGTTGCAAAACCCGTTACGACCAGATTTACACTCTGGGTCTTTTCGTCATCGAGTATGTCCTCTGAAGTGTTCAACCTAGTCAACTGGAACACTTGCTCGCTCAAGAGCAAGAACATCGAGTTCGTTGAGTTTCTCAATGAACGAAACATCCACATTGCCATCATAACTGAAACCCATAACATCAGCAAGATGGTCCACATCTCGCGACCGGATGTCTACCAAGAGCTCAGATCGGATCACTATCCCGTGGTGACCGAAGTTGGTTCCTCGGTGAACCGATTCGAAGGACCCCGGCGCAACAACCATCGTGTCAACTGAGCTCAAGATCAACACTGCGTCGACACAACCATGGACTACGATGTCCAACCGGAGACGTCCGAAGACGTTGACCGGTATCGAGATACATACAATCGAGGAGGTAGATTTCCAGACCAGGGAACAATGAAGACCAATTGTAATCGATTAACAAAAAATCATTCAGGATGTTGGATCTCAGAAATAACGATTTTGCCAATAAGATCCGTATTCTCCCAGATTGAAAGTCTTTCTTGATACTAAGCAGAATCTTAAAAAAAGCCCAGACCCATTCCACCACTGGTTCCACTGAATCGTCCAGATGATTCAGTGATTCATCTGATAACTCCTGTTGAGAAGGCTGCTGGGATTGACCAACACTTTGTCAGCTCCCATTATCTCGGACAAAACATGATTAGTCCACATGAGGCTACTGATGCTGAGATTGCAGCCAACCTCCATTTGATCCCCAACAACTTCCCCGAAGTTTCAGAGATTTCAGCTGACGAACTGGCTTATATAAAATCTTCCAAAAACATGAAGGGTTTCGATAACACTTTGAATCTAGAGCTCATACATATGAGTTCTAAATTCTATAATTACCTGGCACTGGTTTTCAATCAGTACCTTAGGCTTGGCTACTTCCCCTTGTGCTGGAAGTTTGCTTGTCTTCCTCTCCTTCCAGCTATAGACCTACAGAAGAATTTCCAGAATATCCTGAATTGGATTCAAAGTGTATTTTAATCAAATTTCTGAGGATTATTCCATGATAAATCTGAGCAGAACTCCTGGGAACCAATGGAAAAATCCAAGGGCAATCTGAGGATAATTTCAAGCAATATTAGGAGAATACTTAAGGAGGTATGTTAAATGGAGGATTACAATTAAATCTGAGTATAACTCCAGGAGAACTTCAAAGGAATTCGGAAAGAATTCCAGGAGAGTTTGTCAAACATATTCTGAGGACAACTCTAAGGAATTTGCAAATGCCCTAATAACACACTCAGAGTCACGTTGCTGCAGCTTTGTGTGACACTTGAGAGAATTCTTGAGAAACTTTCAATGTGAGCAGAGTTACAAGGGAAGGAGTGAAATTTAAAAGGAATTCTGGAATGAATTCAATGAAAATTCTCAGAATTGTTCCAAAGGGTTTTTTACTGAGAAGAATTTCATGGCAATTCCGAGGAAAATTTCAAGAAAATTTAATTTGAAGGATAGTTTCAACGTTTTGAGGAATATTTCCAGGAGATTCGGAGAAGTATGCCAATGATATTTCGGTGATAATTTTTGAGAATTCAAAGAATTGAACGCTTCGCAAAAACTGAGGATAATTTCAGAAAATTTATGGCATTTCTAGAATTATTACATGGGAACTTTGGGAGAATACAAAGTGAACACTGAGGAGAACTCCGAGTGAATTTTCAGGAAAAATCTCCTGGACTATTCTGAGGTCTTCAGAACTACTTGAAAGCTCCTCAAATTTCCCTGAAGATAATTAAACTGTCTCGAAGTTTCTTTTGAAGTTTTAGAAAGCAGCTTGACGCTCACGATACATCTTTAAAAAAATCTGAATCTTTTTAACTTCCCTAAAGTTATTCAATTTTCCGAACGGTCATAGATCTCTGAACTGCCGTGAGAAGACAATGTGACGTAAGTCCATTTAGTTAATTGTTCTGAAACCGGATACTTTTGTTTAACCTCGCAATGATTGCGAAAATTATCAAAATTATTACAGGACTATTTGAATATGATCTAAACAAAGCTTGAACATTGATGTTTAAAAAGGCTTTTAAATTGTCAGCACTTATGTATGGCGGACGTCATTTATATGCTGGGGTAGGGAAGGTCCACCAGGGCACCCGATTGAAGCGAAATGGATGGGGAGAGTGGATATGCCAACTCCCTGTCTTTAAAATTTCACGAAGAGAGGGCGGGCTCTTCTCCCCACTCATTGGGGCAACCTACTGTTGAATGGCCTGTTTTTTTACTGGTTACAGGTGTCTTGCTACAGTGAGTGATAGTTCCATATCATCATCATTATGTATGACGAACGTCATTTAAGTGTAGAAACAGTGACAATTTAACACTGATTCTCCGATAATATATGGCTAAGTGGTAAGTGTTTTTGGGTTTTGAGGATGCAGAACTCAAATATGGTGAAAAGTGAAATTTGAACAAAGTGGCGCTTACGTCATTTTCTCAACCCACGGCAGTGAAGTTTCCGCAATTTTTCTAGAATTCTAGGAAGCTCCTGATGTTTTAACAATTCGCTGATACATTCAAAGTGTTTTTTGTTACTTCATACGTGATGTTTACGATTTTCAGAGATGCTTGGAAATGCTATCTAATACGAAGCTTTAGTGTGATAATTTATTAGCTAGGGAAAGGTCTGCAGAGGGTAGGTTGATAATTCCGCTAGAGTACGGGAGTATGAAAATTTAACAGAAGTTGAAAATGAGTGAAGGGCAATTAACGTGCAGTACTAGAATTGCATAACACACCATCAACTGGCAATGCTTTCATCAACGTGGGGCTTTAGCTAGTGATGAAACATTGCTAGAACTATTCCACATCCGCAGAAAGTACATGAGCAACGCGCCCTCTTTTGCCTGTAAATTTGAAGAAATACTTCAAGTCAC